CCAACGCTATTATTTACCATGGTTGTTTATGCTCTCTCTGTATAAAGAATGTAAAGCAGAGCCAAACTCTTACTCTCTGTCCATTCTTGTGGTGCACAACTACCCATAAGATTAGGCAGAAGGCTGAAAGCACTTGCAAGTGGGAACAAAATATACGTTTGATAGTAAAATACCTCTCTTATTTTTCAAATTTTACTTACAGCTGCAGTGACTTTGAGTACCTGATGTAAGGACTATTCAACTCAACTTCAAAGTCTTTTTCAAATACATTATCTGTCAGCCAGTAGCATTCCACATGCCCACACCTCCTCATGAGCAAACTTTCTGGAAGGTCCTAACTTGCACAAATTTTTCTTTGCTTCTAGGAGGTTAATCTAATGGCATCAAAATGAGAAGACTTCAAAGATCCTGCAGGGCATTTCTTTTTCTTTCAGACTCATGTTTGCACACAGCTCTATTTATTTGAGAGAAATAACCTTCCAAAAGCAAACCACTTACATTTTATATTGAGACAACAAAGTGACTGATGTAACTACAAAGGCTACAGGCTGTCTCTATCCTGCTACACAGGGCCGTGCTTCCTGAGAGCACCACACTCAGTTTCAACCTGAGTTTGTTATGAGGCCCTTGTTCCCATTGTTCTGAAAAAGTAGACTTTCTCCTGATAAGAAATAATCCCTACTAAGGTGAATAACCAAATCATGGTGTTTGCTAGTGTAGCTGACAGCTTAAAGCAATAGCAACATTTTGTATGTAAGAAAAATGAGGAGTCATTTGTCTTCACTGACAATCAGCCCATATAAAAACACAGTAGATGGTACATAAAAGAAGGTTTCTATAGTTCTGTAGCCTGCGCAGTTATACAGAAAGCATGATGCTGTTTCAATGACTAGCTTGTCTACATCAAATCACTCATAAGAGAGCAGACTGAATACCTGCCTATATTTAAGAGGTCATTTGCTGTGCAAAGAGGCTTTCCCTTCCACCCACTTAGCCTTGGCAGTCCTGTCAGGCACAACCCTGAAATGGGAGATGCACTGGCTCACTGCATCCCAGTTACAACCATTGATTTTGGTTAGGGTTGGTAATGATGCCTAAAATCACTTGAATTTGAGAGGTTAATGGAATTATATCAGAGCTATCTATCAGGATATTTTTAGCTTATTTTTAAAGGCCTTCATCCTCCCTGTTAGCTGTTGAAGAAACGTCCAAGTAGGGAGATGAATACAGAGCTGCTTTCAAGCTTCCACACAGAAAAATTCAAGCAAATCTGTATGTCCAGTCTAAGCCTATTAGGACTGGAAAACATCCTTTTCCTGTTTTTTCCCCTGAATTTCTCCTTTTTTCAGTTCAGGGAGCTGAAATGAAATGGAGCAGCTGAGCCAGCGTGAGGAAGGGGGGGTAAGCCAGGGCAGAAGAGGCAGAGGACAGCAGGACTGCCTCCACCAGCAGCAATTAATGGCTCAGCTAGTGCACTCATAAGCAAATGTGCTGAGTACCTGGCTATATTTGAAGAAGGGCATTTGCAGCATAACCAGTGAAGCACAAAGTGCTGAGTTTTTTAGCTCCTGGTCCTGGAAAGTCCTACTGTTATTCAGACAATCTGTCCTGGTTCTTCAGGCCAAATAGGACACTTGTGCTTTCAAAGGCTTTGCTCAGATGTGAAGGCATCTATTCATTATGTGTGAGGAATACAGTCCACTTGACTCCTGTTTGTCAGTTATCTTCCTGCAGGGTTCACCAGGTAGTTTTACATTTTAAAGGCACACGATCAGTCAGAGTAAGAGAAGGTGGCAGTTTAACACAACCACTTTCCAAAACAGAACTGCCTCTTATAAAATTGTGGATCCCTTCAAAGCCACCTTATTCTGTGATTCTGTGATTCTGTGAAAATAAGTATCCCAGGATGTTATTCCACAAACGTTCCTGTTTCTCCCGCTTTGGGGTTATTTTCTTTAGTATTTACAGACACCCTCTTTTCTGCAATCATGACAGAATCAATTACTTCCCTTCCCAATGTAGGAATCATTATTATTATTTTAAAGATAGAATAAAACAATACTGAGAGATTAGGGCACCTATCCAACAAAACACTTGAGCACTTGCATAACCCAAGGCACACAGCAACCCCACCGTAGGACTGTTCTCTTGTTCCAAGTTGTGCAATCTTGGAGGATTTACTGAACTGGGGCCTCCTGCTGTGCCCCAGGGCTCCCTGAGACTCAGCTCCCTTGCTCTCAGCTGCACACTGCAGCCACCAGCCTCTCCAAGCACAACCTCCGAGCAGCCGTGCTGTTCTGCCAGATCTAGAGCAAACATTAGCCCTGATTTAGACCCAGCTCCTTTTTCGTCAGCATATAAAGCCAAAGAGGTGAATAGGTTATCCTCAAATTCATTATTTAAGTTTGTGCAAAAAGTGGCTAAGACTGTTTATTTCTCCTTAACTCCAGATCAGATTTTCCCTGCTGCTTTAAACTATAACCAGTATTAGCATAGTACTCAGTCTATTTCTTTCACAGTTATCACACACAGTAGCAAAAATTCCACATCTTGGAGTTATTGGGTGGTATTGATGATGGTGCATTTTGCAGAAATGAATGCCACTCCCCCTCCTGCAGCTGCTGAGCACGTTCTGCTGCAGAAATAAACACATTTCTGTCAATGAAGAAAGCAGGAATAACTACGAGTTTTTAAAATTAGGGCACTGAACCATTGAGAGAAAGAGTATTTTTTTCTGATCATAATCCCACTGTTAAAAACATCTACCAGTCTTTCAACTGGTCTGAAGAAAAAGTGAATTTTGCTGACTTGAATCGTTTGAAAGTAAATGATGATTCTGGTGTACACTGGCTGGCAGAGGGAACTGTTTATATAATTCTAGGCTTGCTAATAACCCTCTTCATAGCTAGAAATGGTGCCAGGGAAGCTGCTGGCTATGTAAAAATGCTCTCCCATTTCCTTGCCTTTACTGTTTTCTGTCACAGCTTGTTTTTTTTTAATTAGTACATGCACTATTTTTAGTGTCTGTAGACAAAAATGTATTGTTCAGTCTAAAATGAGGCTAGGTACCATGAAAATGTTTTCAGGGAAAAATATTTGGAGCCAGAGTTTGTCTTTGGCTGTGTGCAATGAAAGTTTGCCTGCTTAGTCCAATTAGTTACAGCCATGTCACTTCATGTAAGTGAATGTAGCTGTGTCAGTGTACAGGGCAGATTTTGGCTCTCATGCTGCAGATGAATATTTTAAACCACACACAGCTAGCATCTGCAGAATCTAGAATATTCTGAGTTATTTTTTTTCCATCCAAATTTCGTGCACACCTTGTTGTTTAAGAGCAGAAGAGAGAACAAAACTTTTCACTCAGATCATGGACTTTATGCAAATGTGATTTTTGATAGGGTACCTCTTTGTAACTCACCTAATCACCTCTAAGAGACCTTAGAGGCCCTGCATTGTAAACACATTGGACGCTACACTGGGTTCTACCCATGTGTGTACACACACCTGCATGAACCACACAGGTAAAGGTGCAGCAAGATTTTGTGACCCCCTAATTCAGCCTGAGGAAATAGAAAAAACCTCTTCCATGTCTAGTAGTCTCAGCTGAGAGGCGAGATGTGAAGCCTTGTCATATCAGTTCCCTGCAGACTTTTAAATCAAGCTCTGTCTTGACCATTTTCTTCATGATTGCCCGAAGCCCAGTCCCCCACTATGCCTCCACTCTAGTCAACCATTAAATTCCTCTAATGGGCTCCAATATGAGGGGAGAGCTTATCTATGTGAAAGTAGTATTCATAATGGGAACCCAAGAAGAAATCCACCAGAAATTAGGAGCTCTCCCAAACAAAGAAGTACCTTCTGTACTCTGGATACTACTGCATTCTTTGATTTTGCCTAATTAAAAAGAAGCATATATGTTTACCAAGAAAGACCCCCAAAATAAATCACTCCAAAATACACACTTGCCCTTTTAAAAAAGATAAATATTACTCATGTTGCTAACACACTTGTGAAAGTTTAGGCAATAATGTGGTGACCAAAAAAGCAAGACATGTTAAGTGTAGGATCAGTCTTAGTTGCATACATGAAATGAGTTCTGATAGTATTTTCAGTAAAAGAAACCAAGTATTTCAGGATGAGAGAAAAAAATATGATCTCCAGTCATCTGTCAACTGTGCAATGTAGGCTTTTAACACTTCACCAGATAATTCTAATGCAGAGGCAGATGACTTACAGTTAAAGTAGATCTACTTTAGAGTCGTAGACTTTTTCAACTTTTTTCAAGTTATGGGTCTCTAAAATATTCCAAATGCACTGACCTCTCCAGAAAGAGCATTGGTTTAGAGAATGGAAATAATGGAGAAGTCATCAGATCCTACAGTAATCCAAATAGTTTTGTTTTCATATGTGTTCAGCTGTGTTTTCCACCTCCCATCACTGGATCCTCCCAGTAGAATAACTATCAAACCTGCTGTAATACACTAGTGACCTTCAGCCAGAATAGGACAGGGCTGGATGACAAAAAGAAGAGAAGTTATGGAATGAGCCTCAGAGCTTGGCTTGGCTGTAGAGTCTGCTTTAGATTTGCTATTGCCCACTCTGGTCTTTCAACACCACAGGATTTGAGTATCCTTTTCTACCTGCAAATACAAGGGTTAGGACCTGAAGGTCCTCAGGAGATGTGTAGGTACCTCTGCAGGGGAGGGAACCTCTGCAGGGGAGGGAACCTCAGAGGCATTCTCAGAAGCTAGTCCAATTGTTACCACTTTTTTCTTCTGTTCAAATCTGTCTTGACAGCAATAGCCTTTGACTAAGCTGCCACAGAACCACAGTATGTGCATATGGTACAAAACGAGCCTCATCAGCCAAGAAACAAATCAACCTTGCAGAGTTGCATCAAGTGGAGGATCTAGTCCAGGAAGATATCCCCGCTGCCACCAATACTTCAAGGCTTCTTTCTGGATATTCTCTGCAGGTGTCCTCGGGACTGTATCACCTACCAAACATGACTTGCTTTTCCTGCCTACCACCTTCTCCACTTGGCTGCTTCGGCCTGTGACACGTCCAGGTGCTGCCCGAATGGTCCTTGGCACTCACTGCCTTTGCAGCACCAGCACGGCCAATTCGGCTGGAGACAGCCAGCTGGATTGGGAGAAATTTTCCACAGAGACCCTGAATGACTTCACCTGGTATAACCCCATCTCTGTCTTTGTAGGTTGTCCCTGCAGAGGTAAGTGGCCTCTCCTGGACTCGCAGAGGAGTGCACGTGAAGGCCTGGGAGTGGGTTGATGTTTTCTTAGCACTTACCCTGCTGAGAGGACTATTATGTGCTTCCTTCTTTTGGGCTACAAGTAACAGATGTGTCCTTATTCATAGAAATGCTAACTAGGAGTGCAGGCAGGGGCAGTGATCACAGAGTCAAAAGTCCCTCCTGCTGCAATGTAAATATTCTTGAGTGCTTTGCAGTTCCACTTGCAAAACCTGTGCACTTTTTTAAAGACAAATAATATAAAATTTAAATAAGAGGTCAATTCCCACTCTCAACTGGAATCACTCCACATGACTTACATGGAAGTGTGCTGTTTTAGATCTGCCTTTTTGTGTTTCAACTAGTTCATGAGCTCAGAAATTTTTGGAGTTCTCTGCACTTCATAAAATGGCCCTACATCAGTTTGAATTTCTTCCCGATGTGTAATACTTGCACGTCCTCTCCCTTTTTCAAAAGGCTTTTTGAAGTAATATTAAAGAGATTTGGAGGGGCCTTCTTTCCAAATGGCAGCTAGAAGAGATGAAGGAGTGAGAGCACCAACTGGGGACAAACACTGAGAAATAATCTTTTTCTACTGAGATGTTCAATTTGCAACCAGTTCAAACTCTGAACTCAGGATGGATGCTTCTCTTTTTGCTGTTACTGCAGTTGAAATAGCACCAAGTCTGGTCTGGTGTACATTCATCTTGGGCACAACTTTGTCACCTAAAATTCAGATTACCCAGAATTTGCAGAAGGCTCATAAAATATTGAACAGTGCTAAAGAGCACAAACAATTTATGCAGCCTGAGCCAAATTCTCCCCAGGACAAATTTACTATTGTGCCATTTTTAAAACTTTTTGGTTTTTATATCACACAGCAGCATATTGTAATTTGGATGCAAATGGGTGACACTTCAAGGATACTTCAGATGGGTTCAAAGATGGTAGTAACTAACTCCTGGACTCTCCCTGCTTACTAGGAGAGTCTAGGAGTTAGTTACTACCACTGCATAGTTGGAAGAAGAGCCTATAAATGTGACTAGGCTCTACATTCTGTTGGGGTGGATGTGTGGTGAGGGCAGATAGAGCACTGAACTCAGCAGGAGTCAGCTCAGCTTTACCTGTAGCAGACGAAGCAGAACAGCCATCTCATCAGCCAGTGGCTGCAAGTGCAAGGGCTTTTCCCATCCAGGAAACCCACTTATTGATGGCCCTGAATTTATCCCAGTACTTCTGTGTTTAAATGTATGCATGATATGTGTAACTGCATAATATATAAAAAGGTAATTAATTTTGTCTTGTTTTTTTTCTACTTTTCTCTTAAATGCATTATTTTGCTATCTAGCTTGAATAAGGGAGTACTTCAGCTGTGTTTCTGTCTCTCCCTCGATTCCTATATTGGCTTAGTTACAAAGCAGAAGTCTTCAGGGTAGAGGATACCCGCAGTTAGGCCTCTGTCTGAAACATGCTTATCAATTCCCTGTGAAGTTATCTGCACCTTAATTTGATTGTAGACCATCACGGCATGTCTACAAATTTGATATTGAAATTTTTTACATAATTTTTTTGTTCAGCTAGAGATATACCCCTGGGAAGCAAAACTAGATATACTGCACTTAGTGCATGGAGAAGCTTATATCTCAGAAAGGAAAGCAACACTTTTCTCATGGGATCACATTTTGGTTTTATCCACCATTCACAAAACCCATAGAACTGTCCTCCTGCTGCACTGAATATGTACCAGTGCAGAACGGACCATCAGCAATTTGTAAGCTTTTATACACTTTAACTTCATTAGCTTCAACAAGAATATACTGTAGAGACTCTTTGGTGTCACTTTCGAAGATCCTCAACACCTACACCAACCAGGCCACCTGTTCATAACTATTTCTTCTGGCAGACAATTTCAGTCTTGGAGAGATCTCTTTGTTCATCCAAAGCAATCAAAAACACTGCGATCACTCATGTGGGAAAAAAAGAGAAAGCCCTACACCCATTTTGAATGCCTTCAGATTTACAACACTGGGAAAATGTTTGACAGCATGAAGTGTTTAATCTACAAAGGGATTATAGTTATCTTCACAGCATGCACACATCATTAATGTGAATGGGAACTGCACCTCCAAGACTCACCCTAAAATGCTAACTGTAAATTGCATCCCAGTAGGATAATTAAAAGTCTGGTAGAAATAGAGCAAGTTCCAACAAACATTTTCTCCCAGGGTAAGTGATCAGAGAATTTGGAATTGAAAAATATAATCAGTCATTTGCCTGAGATGGGTAGTGCATCAGTTTTACAAACAAGCTCATACACAAAGGCTTTTTCCAATGGATATATTTTTAGTTGGTCTGTTTTGTTCTCTGTTTCTTAGGCTACTGGTTTTTTTCTTATTTTCTGTAATCCTACTAAACCTGAAGTTCAACCCTGGGATATGTTTGCAATCATTATTGTGTCAGCATTGCCAATTCTCATTTCTATTTTTCCCATGTTAACTACTGTAAAAAATTGTCAAAACTGTTAGCAGAATTACACCTTTTTTCCCCCTCTTATTTATTTCTGCTTGGGCTTAACAGAAAACCATTTCATCACTGGATGTAATTTTTGAGAATGTCTTCTGCCAAAATTATCTATCTTCTAAAATTATATGTGCATCAAAAGATAAGTACAACAAAACTGATCTGTCTCATTTTCTTATTTTGCTAAGGTTGATGATGAAGGCAAAGCTAGGAACGAAATCAAAATAATAATCTAATACCCCATGAGGACCAAATTACACTGTTAGAAGAAAATAGCCTAGAGCTTCTAGACTACTTGTAACGTCCCATACTTTATCTGATTTTGAGATGACAGAGTTTGCCCATAGGGCAAAGTAAGTCATGGGAATCGTTTTCCTAATCCACACGGGTTTTAAAGTTTCTAGGAATCATTATAGGCCCTGACACATTCTCAGCTGATCCAAAGTGTTCACACAGAAGCTCAGAGCTTATCCAGTAAACTCTGAATCTCCATCACTGACAGCGAGAAACTTCAGACTTAGTCTCCACCATTGCCTTTTCATGGCCTCGGAGAAAAAATCTCCCCTCATATTCCTGTGTGTGCCTGTTTAAATGTGTGCATGAGATGAGTGCTTTAGCACAGGGTATAAAATACTTCAAACAAAATGGACTTGATTGTTTATGAGGAAAAGAAAACCAGTTTGGAACTTTGGAAGTTATGTCACAGGCAACAGTTGATTGTGCTGCAAAACACAAGGCCTTAAGCAGATTTTGCTAGAGTTTTGCTGGAGAAAAATAAAGTATCTCTTAAAATGGAGATTTTCAGCATGCATTTCTGCAAACTTTTAAGGGGAAAAAAAGAACGTTTCTTTGTTTTGTTACTTGGTTTCTTGACCTCCTTACAAATCAATTCACATCCTCTTTGGAACTATCTTGGTAAAACAAGTGGTGAGCACTTCCCTTAAATGAGTGTTCATTTGTCTACAGAATAGGACTTACTGTGTACAAAGAGCAGATTAATCACTTGTACTACTCCACTGAAATCAACAGGCACTCAGTGAGGACTTAGATCCAAAAAATTACAAAAATTGAGTTCTATTTCTTATGCATCATTAGATTTAAAAATATAAGTCCAATACTGCCCTGCACAGCTCAGTAAAAGCAGTGGGATTAAACTGATCCCCTGAAGGAGTAACATATGGCTCTGTGGAGGACACAGAGAAAATATAGCACAAGGCAGTTCCACCTTCTGGTTGTGCCTTAAGGCAAGGAGATAGCCTGTTTATTAATAGGATTGTATTATATAATCAGTGGTAAAAACAGAGTTGCCAACCAGCAGAGAACCTCAGGCCCATAACACTGCTGCTGCAGCACAGTGTCAGGAATGGATCTCTGCAACAGCTGGTGCTGTGTTGGAGAGTCTGAAGTCTGACCACAAAGCAAATGATGTAGCTCCCTGGAGGAATTTGGGCAGCCACTTCACACTTTGGGTGGCTCTATGGGATTTCCAGGCTAGAGAAGATACTTTAAATGGCCTTTTTCTGTCAGTCAGCCCAAGTTTACGAGAGGTTTTATAAAGGTTGCAACTGGCTGTGCAAACTCTTTATACAACCTTCATGACAGTGTGAGGTACAGAAGTGCTAAATACCATCTTGACCTCAAGATGAAGTGACCTCAAGTAGGAGATCTTTACCTTCAAAAGAATAGAAGCCAAAACTATCAGCTTTACTCTACTACTCTTGGACCATCATCCTCCAGTCCTGCACAACACTAGTGTTCCCACTGCTACTACCCAGCAAGGGGCCTAAATGACCTCACAGCTCTGGAGCCATCTTCTCATCCTGGGTGCCACCTGTCCCTCCAGCATCCTGCCCAGTACTTGTGCTGCCCCTCTTCTTCAGCTCTGGTGCTTGGTGCAATCCCCTCTTTTTCTGGACTGAGTCTCTGGGGAAGAACAGACGTATTCTTCACAGTTAGAGTGGTCAAGCACTGGAAGTTAGTGTCCAAAGAGTTGTAGTATCACCACCATCTTCAGAGACATACAAAATTAGACTGGACAAGACCTCAGGCAACCTGATGTAACTTCTAAAGTTGGCCCTGGTTTGGGCTAGGTGATCTCTAGATGTCCTCTTGGACTAGTATTACTTTATAGTTTTAAATACAGGTCTCCTTTTGATCAAATCAATACCTGGAGTGATAGGAATTGAGGAGTATCCCTTTCACAGCTTGTGAAGCATCAAGTGACCTTGATTGTTGTCATGGTTTGAGATGGCCCCAAAATCCAATTCCCTAGCTCCATCCCCCCTCCCACATCTCAACCTAATGTGAGATGGGTTTTTCCAGACAAAACACACCAGACTCAAAGTGGGGGGAAAGGGAATATATTACAATGACTGTACAAATAAATACCATATCACATTATACACATGATCACAACTATCTCTACCATGACATATCATATGTATCTACACTGATCAGATCTCTTCTCCCCTCCAAATAAAAGTCCAGGAGGGAAAGAAGGACAGATCCCTTCCAGTCCTTAAGCAGCAGCATCTTCTGAGGCAGCAGTCTGTCTGTCTTCTCCACATGCAGCAGCTGATAGCTGGCTTTCTGCCAGCACTCACGAGGGAGGTATCCAACCTCTCTCGGCCCCATCGCCTCCAACCGAGGGGTCTTCCGTGGGCTTCGTAACCCCAGACAAGGTCGTATCACCACGGTCATATCACGAAGACACAGGGGGGTCTCCGTGACGGTCTGGTATCTCCAGGAGACTCAGCTCCTTGCAGGGCCTCTGTGCCCTGTCTCTCAGGCTGCCACCGTGGCAGCAGTGCAAGGGGGGGAGCCAAGGTCAACTCCCCCCGCATTCCTCTGGCCGTCCCGGTCCAGCTCCGGGACGCTCTGAGCTTCTCAGCTCCTCTCTCTCCGGTACTGCTGTACTCCAAGGCTCCTCTCAAATAGGAGTCCATCTCCCTCTTTTCTCAGAGGGATCTCAAAGGAGTTTTAGGGGATCTGGTACAGTCTTACCCCCAGAACTCTGTCTCTCAGGCTGCTGGCTCTCTTTTTCCCGGCTCTCCTTCCAGGAGTCCTTTCTCTGGTGCTGCATGTTGCTTCTGCTGCTCCTTCAGTTCAGGTGTTATCTCTCCTGGCTCTCTGCCACCGTTTTCTCTGGTCAGTGCTGGCTGCTGCTCTGTGCCCATGGAGAAAACATCTCCCGGCATAACTACAGGCACCTAGCCCAGCTTTATGCTGTTCCAGGTCCCCGCAGCCCCCAGCCAGGGGCTGGGAGGCCCCAGAGGGCCCAAGGGGCTCAGAGCCCCTTCCTCGTGGCTCTACAACATGGCCACCTCTCCAACAACAACCAAAACTACAACTCATCTCTTCCGGTGAGATTGTGGGATGTTGACATTTTTGCAGGAGCGCCCATTGGGCAGAACTTCAAAACTTCCAGGGGTTTCCACCCCTTGGGGTCTACCACTTTCCTTAGCTTCTGGGGGAAAACAAGATTCAAACCACGACAATTGTATTCTCTGTGTCAGAGCCACCAGAACTCAGTCAAAGCAATGCTGTTTATATATTGCTTAGCCTTGCATGGTACACACTTAGGATTTACAGAGAGTAAATGGAGATACTTAGACTTTACCCACATTGCTCCTTTGGATTGCACGCTGTACGAAGAGAAACAGCTAAAACAGAGAGGCAGAATCCTACTATTCAGTGAAAAGGGTCAGAAACTACAGGTACCTACTGACCATGGGAAGGAAATATGGTGTAAGTTAGCAAAGGATTTGTCTTCAACAGGATTTTAATTGCTCAGTTATCAAGTGTATAATTGCTTTCTGATGACAAAAAAAACTGCAGCTGTTTTCCCCTCTAGTAATTCTGAAATGCTATGTTGATTGCTCACATCAAACAGTTGTATATCTGGACTGGACTTGACAAGTCCCTTACAGTATACAGTTAATTTTGACTCCACTGCCCCCCTTTTGTTCCTTTACAGTGGCAAAATAAAAGACACAACACTAC